AATTGTTAACCTCAACTTTTTAACCGCTTTTAGGAACAAGCACTTAGGCAATTTAGTCAAATATTCTTGAAAGCGAAACATAGATTTCTTAATGGAGTTTATTTCAGAACACGGGAAAAAAACGGTGGTGGGGGCAAGCGTTTCCTTTTGACAAATAAATAAAAAGTGCCGTCGTTTCAAAGCAATCGGCCGTCTCATGATATGATTCAGCGTCTCAGTTTTAACCAATTGTCAATTTTACCCTTAAATTCCGTCGGGGCAAAATGTTGTAGAATAAAGTCACTTGTCCAAACTAAAAATATAGAAACAGTACAAATAGACTGAGTTGGCAATGTATGTGTGAATTTTTTTCTTTTATTTTTCAAATTGTCCAATCATGTACGAACATGTGTCCCTTCTGGTTTTGAATCTGTCCTTGATTCTGTTCATGTAGCATGATTGATTTTAAAATTAATAAAATATTTTAATTATATAAGCTTGTTTGGTACACATTATTTCAAAACACATTTTTTCAAAATTCATTTTCAACCACACATTCTTTAATAAAATAATATTTTTCATCACAACAATAACTTTTCTTTATTTTTTAACCACATATTTCTCATCATATCACTATTTAAAATACATTTTTCTCCATAATATCCATCAAACACACATTTGTGATAACCCAAGAATAACTAACCAAGAGGAAGACGAATTGGTTTTTGAAACTTTTTCGACACTTACTTTCAAAACAATACAATACACTAGATATGAATGTAAAGTATAATACTATAATTAAATATGCAAGATCGATAACTTAGTTCAAGTAAGAATATAGCACAATATAAATGACAATGTAAAGTAAAGTGCAATAATGTAAAGATAACAAATTAATTTAATGGGGTTCGATACACAATGTGTTCTACGTTCCCGTNAATGACAATGTAAAGTAAAGTGCGACATTATAAAGATAACAAACCAATTTAATGGGGTTCGATACACAATGTGTTCTACGTCCTCGTTACCAAACTCTTTGTCACGAGCAATGCCAAATGCACTATAATAATAACTTACAAATAAGGAGTACCGATCTTTAAGTGACTTATAATAAGGAGCACTTATCCTTAGGTGACTATAATAACGAGCACCTATCCTTAAGTGACTTTCAATAATGAGCACTTATCCTTAATAACGATCGAGTTTTCACAAGGCTCTCGAAACCACTAAAGTATAAATGCTAGTTTTACAATTGAAAGAACTCTCTTAACAAATGATATAATCAAATCAAGTATTTAGAGAGTTAGGATAA